TGGAAAGCCAAAGACGACACAGGAAGCGGCCAACACGTATCCAGCAGCGATCACAAGCCATGGAGTGATTTACTACAATACGGGAAATGATTACTATTTCCGATCCTATGGATTTCCCACGAGCTCACTTATAGTCAGTTCCAAGTCACCTGCAACGGGAAGTATGATGGTAAAAGGACCGGATGGAGTGCAGGTCAGTCCATCGGTCATCATCTATGGAAGTGCCTTCACACTCGCAGTGGACACTTCTACAGTAAATCCCAGAATTTTTTGGTCCGGGAATGGATTAATTACCTTCGCTCCTGAAGCTCGCTTCGTCTCTAAGCTTCCGTTTGTTTACACTACAGTCGGCAATTCGCTTGTGGCATTTATGCTTGCAGGTGATTCGTTTGCCCTTGAAGAAGTCCTTCGGATAAATACGGCCATGATCGACCAGGAACAGAGAGTGTTTTTGTCTCAGAGGGGGACAATTGGTTGCGTGGACAAGGACGGTAAGGTGTTGTGGAATGTTGGGTTTTCGAATTCTGGTACTCCACAGGTTCTATTCGCTCCCATCATCCTGGATAATTTGGACTTTGCCCTTGTCTCTGGTGGCGTACGGGTGGCCGCGATTATCAACAAACGAACTGGTGTCGTTGCGAGGAGCGTTCAGTTTGAGAGGTGCATCATTTCTCCGGATTCTACCGAGGCGGATGTGGTTGTTAATGGGACTATTGTATTTGTTGCGATACGAGGATGGTCATGTGTGCATGTTGTGGATCTCAATCTGAAGAATAAAAGTGGTAAGATCACGGGGCCGGAGGTGAAAGCATTGGAGATTGAAAATACCGCGACTGGTATTCTTGGAGGATATCCCATGGTTGCGATGGTGGAGTTTGCGAACCATCTTGTTTTTGCATTGCAACCAGAAAATGGTGACATGAAACGTCCAACGTTTGTTGTGTACCGTGTGGATGACATGAGTAAATCTTTGTGGACGCAACTTTGGAAGAAAAAACTGCGTGCTGACCTCGGTAAGATCTCCACCTATGGGTACTTCTTGTACACTGCCGCCGATTCGGTACTGAATGTTTATGATTTATTGACGGGACGATATGTTTGGGGGTATATTTTTGAGAAGAGCATTACAGGGCCAGTTTTGGGCGCAGATCGCACGTTATATGTGACAACTTTGGATGGTATCCAGTCGCTACGTTCCACACTGAGTTTGTCCTGGTCCCTACGTCTTATGGGTAACATCACTCTTCCGAAGCGCATGGTAACACCTTCAGATGTCACCATTGGGCCGGTACGTACGCCATATGGGCATATTATCATCTCCAACAGCGTTGGTACGTTGGCCGTTGAGCATGAGCGTGAGGGTTCCGTATCAAAATTGGCTTGGTATACAGAGAAGTCCATTTCTCGCTTTGGTGTGTACGATGTGAACACCAAAGCGAAGGTTGGGTTATTTGACGCGAGCGATGGCACAGGGATTATGGATTTGACTTCTGGTAAGATGCTTTGGTTGGGCGGTGTGTACCCGGCTGACGGCAAAACGAATGGTGTTGCGTCGCCTTCATTCCCATTTTTCGTGTGTTTCTTTGTCCTTTACGTTCCGACGTGTCGACTGGTTCCTGAGAAATATTTAATGCCCAGTCGAAATTTACCACTTTACAAATATGACACCGAGCCAACCGAAAAGACACCGGACGAATGGGATCCCATTTATCCAGGCGGTGGCGGTTCTATACCGTTACATCCATCACCACGCTGCCAATCTATGATGCACGCCTACATCCCTCCATTTACAGAGTGCATTAATAAGGCCCTCAGGCTTATTTATCCTCGCGGTAGAGGAACGACATTGGTATGTCCTGCTTCCTTCTACATAATTGGTATTTGCCAGGACTCATTGAAGGAGCTGGCCGACGCGTGCCCTGACGTTGGTGTGCTTTTGGTAGAGAGCTGGAAAGCACAAACCATGGATAAATTGTCTCCTTTGGGTCTTTGTGAAGCTGAAGAGGCGAGTGCGCGTTGCCAGACGAAAAATGATACGGTCTTAAACGCCACCTGTTCCGTTGTAAGCATGTCTTTTGTACTCAACGACTACGAAAACCCCATGGGCTACGAGCTTGGCTACGAGCTGCCCATCTTTGATTTCCCCTCCATAAGGTCAGCGAAGAGTGTTGGGGCAATCTTGGGTGGTGTGATGGCCATTCTTGTGGTGATTGCCATTGGAGCAGCGGTGGGAGTACACTTCTACCGGAAAAAGAAGAGGGTACGGGACTCACGCTTCTTTGATGACGACGTCAATGCCTCACTGCTCGGTAGTGAGGGGCAGGACCTGCCAATGCAAATTATCAACAACGAAAGTCATAAGTTAATGTCAGGAGAGGGGAGTTTAGCCAACATGGATGCGGTGTCATCACGCGTGCAAGAAAACCCGCCGCCGGAGCTGGAGAACGGCTTTTCTCCGTCGCAGGGAGAAACAAATGGAGCAACGCACTCAGCAGCAGCACCAGCAGCCATAGCCGGACCGAAAAAGATGCCCCCCAAAATGCCAATGAAAATGCCGGGCAAAATGCCACCGGGGAAGGGTCTTGGCCCCAAAATGCCACCGCCGTCTAGACCGGTAAGAAAGCCAGTGAATGAGAATCCAATCCTTGACGATGACCTGTAGTAAAATTAAAAAGGAAAAAAAAAGGGGAAAAATTTTTTTATAAATGGTTGTGCATGCTTTCTGACGGTGGTGGTGATATCGGGTACGCGTTGTTGTTTGTGGTTGGCATAGGCTCCCCTTTTGTTGTCACCACCTTTTGGAGACTATATATATATATATATAATCCGTCGTCAATCTGCTCACCGATAAGCATTCTTAATGTTGAATGTACATGAGGGGAAGGAAATTCTCATCACGGTAGGTCAATCCGATCACGGGCCACAGGTGTATTTAACATACATGCATACGCATACACGTAAATAAATAGTGTTTGTGATGCAGATGCCGCTTTACTGAACTTCACATGTCAATATATATTTCCCCCCCTTCCCTTTGCTTTCTTCTCTTTCTCTTACTCTGTGAATGTAACCGAATTGGCAGTTAATGAGGGAAGCGGGAGGGGGGAGGAGGAGGGTTAATTAACGATGTGTGAAGAACAGTTATTTATTTATTTATTTTGATTTCATTTTTCATTTTTCATTAATTTTATTTTTGTCTTTTTTCTTTTCTTTTCTTTTCTACTTCCTCTCTTTTTCTTTAGTTTGGCTGGTGGTCTTACTTTTTTTACTTGTTTGATTTGTATGCCTCTTTTAAATGTTTGGTACGCCTCGTTTGTCCCTCTCATTGTAATGTTTTAACCCCGTACTTGTGCGCTGAGCAGTACGTAATGTTTTACTCAGAGAGGGAGAGGGAGAGACGGCAGTTTACATGCAGAGAAATTCTGAACTGAATGGCCGGCAAAAACGAAAACCGAAAAGTTTTTTTTTTTAACGAAACAAAGTGACGGAAAAACAAAACAAAACAAAACAAACAAACGGCAATAAATAAATAAATAAATAAATAAACGAGGAGGGTGAGGCAAAATGAAGATGTAAGCACATAACAACTGCCTTAAGGATGAGTGATACATATATATACATATAAGAGGTGTCTTTTATTATCAGTACTATCGTAATTATATATATATTTTAGTTATTGTTTTTGTTTTTTTTTTTTTGTTTGTTTGTACGATTGTATGTTTTTGTGTCTTGGCCATTGAGCACAGGCATTTGTTGTACCATCATAACGTTTATTTTTACCCTGTTGTGTGTAAGTGTATACAAATCCATATCTATCTATCTATCTATCTATCTATCTACAGATATATATATATATATATGTCTTTCCCATTGGTTGTTGTGTGCATTATGTGAGCATTCACGTGTGTGACACGAGGGGGGGGAGGGGGGGAAAAAAAGGGGAGGAGACACCATTGGGCAAATTAGCATCAAATAACGGAAGTGGCATGGATTTAACTGCAGTGTGTGCGTGTGTGTGTGTGTGTTTGTGTGGAAGGGAAGGGGGAAGGGGGAATTCATGCGTGTTGAGTGGGGGGAGCACACGCAGTCATTGAGAGTGTGAGAGAGAAATGAACGATAGGAATAAAGATGGGCCCCTTGTATGCATGGGCGCAATTATTATTTATTTTTGTTAACCGCCTTTCACTCTCTCTCTCTTAACTCATGAAAAAAAGATTGTCCCCTTTTCTTCCCTTGCGCACCAAACAGACACGCAAACAAAAAATAAATAATAAAAAAAAAGGAAAAGCTATTTATCTATTTTATTTTCATATATATATGAAAATCAAAGGTTTTATTCCGATTGATGAACGGAAAAGTAGGGAGAAGGGAAAAAAAAAAAAAAGGGAGGGCACTTGGAAATGCTTTCAAGAAGTGGCGTCTGTCCCAGAGGGAAACTGCAGTTATCAGATGAATTCGCCATTATTATTTTGTTGTTGTTGTTGTTGTACTTTTCATCAGGGTTTTTTTTTTTTTTTTTTATGGGTGCGTTTCTGTTAACTGCGAAGATTGACTCTTTTTTTTTTCTTTTTTGTTTTCCTTTTTATTTGTGTGTTGTTATAATTCATATGAACATGACTTTTAAGAGGCTCAAGTGTAGAGAGAGAGGGGGAGGTGGTGGTGGGTAGGAGCACATTTTATTATTTTGTCGTTTTATCGCCGACGGGAATAGTGCGTGAGGCACATTTCACAACCTGCGTCAACCCCTGCACCCACACAATACAATACACGCACATATTTACATATTGAGGGGAGGGAAGGGTGTCTGTTTAAAAGTGTGTGTGTGTGTGTGTGTGTGTGGTTATTGTACTCGCATCAGGCGCTCAGGGACGAGGGAGAGTTGCGTAGAGGAAGTGAAGGGAATTTGTGAGGGGAGAAGTCTGAAAAACAACACACCAAAAAACAAAAATCAGAAAAAAGAAAGGAACTACAAGAGAAATCACACGTGCAGCTTATTGTTGATGGTGATGCCACTAGGAGGTAACACCGCGGGTGATGCCCGGTATGCGTTCTCACATACAAATTCCCTTTTAGCGCCGGGTTACGGTGCACCAGCAGGACGTGCGGCCCCAACAGAACAAAATGGGATAATGAGGGAGGGAAACACGGGGATGCATGCGGCGACAATGTCAACGACATCGACGCAGCGAGCGCCAATGCCTCGCCAGGGATCGGCGCTAATGACGAATGGTCTTACTGTGCGTTCACAATTCTCGGCGTACCGCGAGGGCCTTTTTGCACAAATGCAAGGGCGTGACGTTTTAGCGGCGGCAGGAGGTTCACCTGCGCGGGGTGAGCGGTTTCATGCTCGCTGGGATTCATCTTTAGAGACCAGAAATAACATCGGTGGAAGTCGTCCTGTTACTCTTGACGCTGGCAGTAGCGATGTTGCCCGACTTCGGGGGTATGTCGTCACCCCAATTTCAATAGGCAGTTTGGCGGAGGCCACACAGTTTGCAATTCCATCTTCTTACGCCACATCACCAGTCGTGGCGCGAGAACCAGTACCAGCAGTAACTACAACAACAACAACAACAACAACAACAACGGGACACATGATGACGTCATCGTCAGAGAATTCTTTTCAGCATCATGTTAAATTTGACTCCCCGTTGTCCTCAGGGTTTGAGCCCACGCGTGACGGTCCCAGTCGGCCACCCGGTCTTCTCGTCCCTCCCTATTCGTTGGATAACGCGCCCCAACCACAAAATGAGGGGAAAATTGGCGTAACAAACAACGAGACGTATTCTTCCTTAATGTCATACGGAAGAAATACGTCGCCGTCATATCATGCAGATCCATGCATGCACGCTCTCTTTCCCTACTGTCGTCAAATGCCGCAAAACGCCATCTACTCTGTGGCGTTTCGAAACGCTGTGAATACTACGACACCCGCTTCAAATGTATTGCATACGGGCTCTTTTTCAGCGGGAAGGGGGCTGCCTGCTCCTTATCATAATACGGGGATGCCACCGCCGCCACTCTCATATCAAGAGCAAACTCAGCAGCAACCGCGACTCTACCCTCGCGAGATTGCTGCTGAAGCATCTGACCAAGCGGGCAACCCACCCATGCGGCGGACGCGGCAACGCCAGGAGTCCAGTTTTTGGGAGTTATTTGAACGACTATCCTACAGGCCGAGCGGTCAGACCCGCCGTGGTGCCACAAACACTGGCACGCAGCGGCGTACCGGCCAGGGTCATGAGGGAGGGAACCATTCTTTTGGCGGTTGGCTGCGTCATTCCCGTCGAGTGGCCGAGTATACACGACCAATCATACCATCTTTTTCCCCTGTTCGTCCCCGCCCAGGAACTCCACCGCCGCCGCAAACGCTGTTGCGGGAGGCGCAAAGCTCGCGAATTGCGCTGCGTTTCTCTTCGAATCATCGACCACCACGCCTTAGCGAGCTGTATCTTTTTGAAGCCGCTTTTGCCCCCGATGTGGACAATATGTCCTACGAAGAGCTTTTGGAACTGGCGGAGCGTATTGGGCGCGTTGAGTGCGGTGTGTCGCGTGAAAGATTACAACAGCTACAGGTGGTTCTGCAACCGATTCACTTTGGCGTAACGTCTTCACGTCAAGAAAAAACGGGAACGGCAAGAGGGTCTGCGCCCTCACCGCATGATGTGCAACGAAGTCTGCAGGCACATGAGGTGGAGTCTTTAACCTGCTGTGTGTGTCTGGACTCGTTTTCTGTTGGCAACGTGGCCACTCAACTGCCATGCTGCCGCCACTTTCTGCACGAGGATTGTTCTTCTCGGTGGTTTGAGAGCCAATTTCGATGTCCAATCTGTACTCGTGACGTACGTGAGACCGAAGACTAACTATTTGCCCATGTATATTAGCCGGAGCCGAAGAGCAGGAAGAATGCTATGATTTTTGGTTTTGTTTTCATAATCCTGTGCGGAGGGGGTTCCTCTCCGTTTCTTCTGGAAATGGTTTATCTTTCAGGCTTAGTTTTCTGTTGCTGAGTGGTGTTGTTGTCGTTGTTTTGTTTGTTTTTTAGTGCAGTTTTTTTCCCCAGTTTCTTTTTTGTGAGTCCATCAGAAGGCATGTGGGTTTTCTTTTAAATTCTTCAATCCTGCGATCCAATTTCTTTACCCGCGCAGCACCCTTTGTTGTTCACGCACTTTTCTTTTTTTTTTTTTTTTTTAATTGCCTGTTCATTCCTTCAGACTCACGTGCTCCTGCAGTTCATATTGCATGTTGGTGTATGTTTATGTATGTACTTACGTGGCTGTGGGTGCTTCTGTGCGTTTATTTCCTTTACACACAAACACACACGGAGAGAGAAAGAGAGAGAGAGAGACAGGGAGGGAGGGAGGCGTTGAGTAGTTGCGGTGGCTGCCGTCATGGCGGTGACGTTGAGTTTTTATGAATGACGTGGGGAAGGTGACGTAAGACGGGGGAAGTTGGGGAAAATTTGGAGAGCTGAGGGCAGTGAAAAGGGAAGAAGAGGCGAAAGGAGAGGGAAGAAGAAGAAGAAAAAAAAAAAAAAAAACAGATGAGAGAAAATGCAACGATAAATAAAGTCCTCAAATCATCGCCAGCACGGAAGGGAAGCAACAAGAAGGGGTGCGTAAGCAGTCGTGAGGCATGCGCAACGAAGATGGAGATGAAGAAAAGAGCAGAGAAGGAAATTATTAATACCCGCGTCAGTCTGTCTGTGGCTGTGGCTGCTGAGTGAGGGTGCAGCACAAAATGGCTGGAGCAGCTGCAAGAAGAAGAAGAAAAAAAAAGTAGTTTTATGCATGTAAATTAACATACGGCGTAATTTGCTCTGTTGTCTTGGATTGAATAAATGTACATACGAAATCTTTTTTTTTTTTTTTTTTTTTTTTAAGCCCCCCACCGCCACCACCACCACCTTCTTCCTGTCTATTATTTTTGTTGTTTTTGGGTTTTTTTTTTTTTTTTGGTTTGTGGTTCAATGGACAATAAGCAAGGAAAATTGCACCCTTTGGATTGATAGGAGTGGCTGTAAAAGGAGGCAGAGCAAAGAGTTAGAGAGAAAAAGTAACAGGCAGATGTGTCAGAGCGTATGTACGCTTAGTTATGGTCATATTTGACACTGCTGGTAATACAATATATATATATATATATATATTGTTCTTGCGTCTGTATGGCAATGTATTTCATGAATCTGAGAGCAAATACTGCAATTGTGATGCTTTGGATTGTTGCCGCGTTTTATATGCCATGCTTGTTTTTTGTGGGGTTGTTTTTTTTTTATCCTTATCTCTCCCTGTCTGTCTTTGTGTGTCTTGTTTTTTTCTTTTTTTTTTTTTTTTTTTTGGGGGGGGGGAGGGGGGAGGGGAGAGGGAGGTTTATTTTGGGATATCAATTATTTTTGTCGTTGATGCGTTTTTGTTTTTCGTTTTTGCCTTTTTTTTTTTTTTTTTTACTTTTCTGTCTTGGACTCTTTTATATATTCCCCCCTCACACACACACACATACACACAGTTGAATGGTTGCTTTTTGTGTGTAT